TAATTTTTCATAAAAATGCAACACCAAATAAAACAGCATCTGCAGTTTGTTTGCAAATTATTTGCACCAATAATTCGTGCTAAGTAATAATTAACATCTACGTCTAACTAAACTACTTTTAATGAGGTGCTCTTTTGATGTTTATGTTTATTATTTTTAATGACTTCTGTTATCAGTATTATTTTCATGTGGAAAAATATTTGTAGCAACAGCCATTTTTTTTTTTTTTTTTTTATTATTATTATTATTTTATTCTCATCTAGCAGAGTGCCGGTGTTTGATAATGATGTTCCACCTGACTCATGACACAGAAATGTATTTTCCTTCAATTTGCAGCCCAAATATGTGAAATGTGTCATAATGGCTGATCATGTGCAGATGATTTTAGTTCTTAATTCAGTTGTGCATTCATCTGGATTGCTTGTATAGACTGCATGCGTGTGTGTGTGTTTATGGTGGGTTCTTCTGTTAAATGTTGTTTTCTTGCCCTCATATAGTCAGTGAGCTGAGCGTCTGGTCCGTGTGCAGACAGGCGTCTCTGACAGCTCCTCTGTCTCCAGCATGTCACTTTGAGCTTCCAGCGATAGCGTTGCGAGCGGCCTGTCCTGCGGCGCACCTTTGATCTGACTCCATGGGCTGCATTCGTATTCAAATCCTCCAGCTCGTGCTGCAGATGTGCCTCTAATGTCTCAGCGTACTTCACTGGATTATCTCACATTAGTGCTCGGACATTTGCATTTACAGCCCTTCACTTCTGCAGTCTGACTCTCGGGTCTTACACAAGCATTCTGCCATGCATTTACTGCAATGCGTTCCTCAAAGATGTTTATTGCATCGCTGATTTAGACAGACATGCAGTGTACCAGATTTATGCACACACTATAATATTCATTACAATTTATTTTTGATAAATGTAGTACATTTGTAACAATTTCAGCATTTTGGAGGTGAGAATAATTAGAAATTACTATATTTTTGTGACTTCTACATTTTTTGCAAATTTTTATTTATTTTCAAGTCTCAAAAATTAAAATTTTCGACTCTCTGAAGCTGTTAGTTGAAATAAATTTCAAACAAATCCAGTGTACTCGATTTATTCATGCACTAAAAATTCAGCGTTCTTGCACTTTTTGGCCAATAATTTATTTACAAATATTTTTTTTTACTTTTTTGATAAATTTAATACATTTCAAATCATTTAAATGTTTTAGAGGTGAGAATAACTAGAAATAACTATATTTATATGACTTCTAAATATTTTATTATTTTTTATTATTTTTCCAGCCCCAAAAATGGCAAATTTTAGACTCTTCGAGGATGTTTTATTGGTAATTGAAATTGTAAACAGACATCCAGTGTACTAGATTTATATAAACACACTATAATATCAACATTCCTGCACTTTATGACCAATTATTCATTTAATAATTACATTTAAATAATAATAAAAAAAATAGATGAACAATTTCAGTATTTTAGAGGGGAGAATAACTAGGGAAAAATCATATTCACTATATTTCTGTTGCTTCTAAATATTTTATTATTTTTTATTATTTTTCCAGCCTGAAAAATTTTAATGTAATACTCTCAAATTTATGCACACACTATAATATCAGCGTTCCTGCACCTTTTGACCAAGTATTTACTAAAAATAATATTTTTATTTAAATTTATTTTCGATAAATGTAATACATTTTAAGCCATTTCGATATTTTAGAGATGAGAATAACTAGAAATAACTATATTTCCGTGACTTCTAAATATTTTATTAATTTTTATTTCTTTTCAAGTCTCAAAAATTACACTTTTTAGACTCTCAGAAGGTGTTTTATTGGAAATTGAAATAAATTTCAAACAAATCCAGTGTACTTGATTTATTCATGGAATAAAATATCAGTGTTCTTGCACTTTTTGGCCAATAATTTATTTTAAAAATTTTACTTTTTTTTTTAATCAATTTAATACATTTCAAATCATTTAAATATTTTAGAGATGAGAATAACTAGAAATATCTATATTTCCATGACTTCTAAATATTTTATTAATTTTTAATACTTTTCCAGTCCCCAAAATGGCAAATTTTAGACTCTCAGAAGATGTTTCATGGGTAGTTAAAATAATAAAACACTTGTGGGATGTCCTGCCGTATGACATGGCATTTTGCTGATTATACATGCTTTTTATTTACTTTTTAAATGAAATGCACACTTGAAATGAACTACTGAAGGCAGAAGGATGATTAAAATGTATATTTCCTTATATATTTACAGAGATTTCAACTTAAATGGATCAAATGCAGACTTGAAGATCTCAAATGAAGTAGGTTTATATGCACAGAAGTGAGGGTCTGGAGCCCCTGAGATGAGAGATCAGTCTGGACTCACTTTATGATGCTTTTCCCAGAACAGCGATAGACTGAAGGCTCTGCTCCCGGAGGCCCCAGCCCGGACAGACGGCAGCTACTGAGAGGCCTAACTGGGCAATTAGAGACTCATACCCCTTTAGGAGAACAATAGGGAGCATGCGTGGGGTTAAGCACCCCTCTCGCCGCTGATTACCCCCCGGTGCTTGTTATTCTTTCTGACGGCTCTCCTGTGTTTGGACTGTTAATATGTTGTCTGTGTACGGCGTTTGAGCTGAAGACAGCGGCACGTCTCGTATGGACGTCTAAATGAGGAACTGGTGCTGAAAGTGAAAACAGTATGAAGTGTGCCGGGACCATTTGTTTAGGTTTGTCTTGGTTGTCAGTCGGTACTTATTCATATTTTGAATTTGCTTTTATTTTCAGTTTTCACTTTCATTTTAGGATTTCTATTTAGCTTTATTTTTATTTCACTATTTTATTTTCAGTAGTTGTCAAGGCAACATTTCTCATTTTTGTTTCATTTTTATAAGTTTTTCATAATTAATAATTGTTTTTCATTTATTTTATGTCAATCGATTTTTGATTAAAAAGTAATTTTTAAAATACTTTTAGGTTAACTCTTGTGCAATTCATTGCAGTTTTATTTTACATATATCATAGATGTACTATTATAGATTTATAATTGATATATTATTGTAGTTTTTGTTATTATTTTGAATTGGAGTTTATTTTTCATAATTCCTGTTTTCACTAGTTTTAAGTAATTTTGTTGTTTTTATTAGTTTTGTTTTATATATATATTTTTTTTTCTATTTAGCTTTAATTTATTTTTATTTCAGTTTTAGTAATTTAGTGCTTCATTATTAATTTACATTTTTTTATATAAAACTTAATTTTAAAGTTTTTCATCAAATATAATTTTTTTGTTTATTTTATTATTTTATGTATTTATTTCAGTGGGTTTTTCAATTGAAAGCGATTTTTAATAATTGTAGGTTTAGTTAATAACAACACTGGAGTGATTTGTTGCAGTGTTATTTTAATATCATGATGTGCTATTACATACAGTATATATAGTTTTTAATATTTTTTTAATATTACATTTTTTGTAATTTTATTGTGTTTATGTCTATGTAGTTTTTATTATTATTTGTATTAGTTTCAGTTTATTTAATTTTAGTTATTTTAGTACTTAATGAAAATAAGAAATGTTGCCTTGGCAAATAGCTTTTTTTATTGTTTTATTTCACTTTATTTTTAGATTTTTTTATATAGTTTATTTCAGATATCTGAATTTTGCATATAGAAAAAGTGCATACTGTGCTCAGTATGCATAGTATATATACTGTAGAACTAAGACTAGTACAATAATATGCTATGCTAATCTATAGCCTGTGAGTGTGTGTGTGTGTGTGTGTGTGTGTGTGTGTTTTGACACTGTCACAGACTCAATTGTCAGGTCGAGTCTCCGTCTCTCCTCCATCAGACCAACAGACCTCTTCAGCGCAAACATCCACATTAAAAGACAGACAGACTATAAAATCTGAAATGCTTTTTATTGAAAGATTACAAACTGAATGCGTAGGAATTGGATTATGCACTCAAATAATAAAATACTGCAAAATGCAATTTTGATATGCAAACCTCTGACCTCATTATAACTTTAATAAACAACACTTGAGAAGAGATTATGAGATATCGCTTATGGGACATTGACATATGTCAGCATTTCAAATTATTTTCATGATTTAAAGATCATCTAAGATTGAAATTCTTCCTATTTATTTAAAAAATGCATGCAGTTAGAAACAGACTGCAATATACTATTAATTTTAGGTTTAGTTAATAACAACACTGGAGTGATTGTAGTGCAGAAGACATGCTGGTGCCATCAAACAAGTTGCTTTGAATGTAAAATTGGTCATAAAATAAGCATAAGTATGATGTAGGAGAATATTTCCCAGCAGCAGGGTGCAGTGATGTTATTTGAGTTGTTGTGTTGTTGATCAGCAGCAGAGGGCAGTGTAGAATTATTTTTGCTGTATTCAGACTCAAATTGGAGGTTTAAAGAGCTTCATTGGAAAGCGACCTTACTCATGGCAGGCGCCATATTGAACTGAACGCGGATGAAAACGAGGCTGAGAGGGATATACGTCACAAATCTCATTTTCACAACTTTACAAACTATTATCCCTCACAGGCTCGTTTTCCTTCCTTTCACAAATCAATAAATAAACATGGCGTATTAGCCTAATAATTTCAATACAATAAAATAAAGGCTTTTATACAGTCTGGTTGACCTCTTTCATTATATGGCACTATGGTTTCTTAGCACTTGTTTTAAATTAGGCTAAAGATAATTACTACCTCCTTCCCAAATCCCTACAGTAACCTTTAGACACTTTTAGATTTTAATGAAGATTTTATTAACCTGTCTTCCTCCCAAAGGTTCCCACAATGTAGGTGATTTCTGCTTTTAATTCAGTAATCTTCAAATCAAGCGAACTGATGCCATAGTATTAACAGGTTTTTGGACATACAGTAGTCCCAGATGTAAATACATGAAAATCTGTCTTCTAAAAAACTATTCGCTAGTACTAAAATGTACCATGGTAATACCACGTTTTGGCCATGGTATACCAATGCACTCTTTAGTACGCATTTGTATAGCAAAGTACTGCAGTAGTACGTCTTGACCTTTTGTATAGGTGAGTTAGGGTTAGGTAAAAACACCTCATTTCTGAAGCTGTCGTCTCTCCGGGGTGCGCTCGTGCGCATGCGCAGTCTCCGCCTGCAGCTCGGTCCGTGGCGGCTGCTGCTGCTGTCTCTGTCCGCCGCTCAGAGAAGCTCCGTGTTTTTCCGCCGCGTTCTCGCCCGTTTATGCGTCCGAATCCGCCCGCGCTGCTCGGTCCGTGCTCCCGGTAAAAGGCTCGTCTCACCACGGCTCTGGGCGTTATGCGCTCAAATGAGGCCTACACGCTGAAGCTGTCCTCCTCTTCCTCCTGCTCCTCCTCCTCCTCCCATGCATGAATCTCACCGTGATGGCTGATGATCAACAACAACAGCCCGGTGCTCCCGGAGCGTCCCTGCAGAGCCCCGAAGCGACGGCGCTGCAGTACAACAAGATCAAGAATTCCATTTGGTAAGAGATCCGATCAGTGTCCGATCTCAAAAACACCCCAGCACATCTCACACACATCTCTGCGCTCAGAGAGAGGTAGACGCGGCACCTTGCGTGCTTGTAACGGGATGTCTGATTTCCATTGCATGTGATGTTTGACTGTTTACATGGGATGTCTGATGTCAAATGGACGGCAGGCCTGCATATAGTTGCAATGCATATCTGCTTTCAGTGCATGTGATTATGGCTGGTTTATAATTGCATTCGATTGTCTGATTCCATTGCATGGTACAGCTGATTTCAAATGTCAGTGATTATATGATGTCATTGCATTGCTATTTCTACTTCAATTGCATTTGGATGTCTGATTTTATTGCATGGATTTTCTGATGTCACTGCATGGGATGTATGATTTCAGTGCATGTCGTATCTGATTTCAAATAATATCTGTTTACAGTGCATGGGGATGTCTGATTTGATTCCATTGACTGGATGATTTCGTTGCATGGCATATCTGATTTGAGTGCATGTGATTATGGCTGGTTTATAATTGCATTCGATTGTCTGATTTCATTGCTTGGATCTGATGTTTGATTTAATTGCATGGTACAGCTGATTTCAAATGCAAGTGATATATATGATGGCATTGCATTGCATTGCTATTTCTACTTCCATTGATTTTGGATGTCTGATTTTATTGCATGTCAAATCTGATTTCACTGCATGGGGATGTCTGATTTCATTCCATGGATTATGATTTTGTTGCATGGCATATTTCAGTGCATGTGATTATTATTCTATGACTGCATTAGATTGTCGGATTTTCTGATGTCACTGCATGGGATGTTTGATTTCAATGCATGTCAAATCTGATTTCAAATGATATCTGATTTCATTCCATGGATTGTATGATTTCATTGCATGGCATATCTGATTTGAGTGCATGTGATTATGGTGTTTATGACTGCATTAGATTGTCAGATTTTATTGCTTGGATATGATGTCTGATTTTATTGCATGGATTTTCTAATGTCACTGCATGTGATTATGTCTGATTTCTAATTTCATTTGCATTGGGATGTCTGATTTCATTGCTTGCATATGATATCTGATTTTCTTGCATGGGTATTTTGATGTCACTGCTTGGGATGTAATTGCATAGGATGTCTGATTTCATTCTGTGGCATCCATGTAATGTATAATCTCAATGGATGTGATTATGTCTGATATTTAATTTCATTGCATTTGAATGTCTGATTTCAGTTGCAATGGATGCATGATTTTATTGCAATAATCTCATTGATTTTCTGATGTCATTGAACGAGATGCATTTTAAATCAGATATGGCATGTAATTACATCAGAAAATCAACGTGATAAAATCAGACACCATCCCCACCCCATGCAATAAAATCATGCATCCATTGCTACAGAATCAGACATCCAAACACAATGAAATCAGACATCCCGTGTAGTGACATCAGAAAATCCATGCAATAAAATCAGACACCGTCCCCATGTAATCGAATCAGACATCATATCCGTGCAGTTAAAACCGATATCCCAATGCAATTATAAATCAGACATGCACTGAAATCAGATATACCATGCAATGACATCTGACATATCATGCAATGACTTCAGAAAATCAATTAGACAAAATCAAACAAAGTCCTCATGCAATAAAATCAGACATCATATCCAAGCAATGAAATCATTCAACCCAATACAATGAAATTGGAAATCAGGTGTAATCTCATGAACTGAAATCAGATATTGCTTGCATTTTAAATCAGATGTGCCATGCAATGACAAGTAATATCTGATTTCAGTGCATGTGATTATGTCTGATTTATAATTGCATTGGGATGTCTGTTTTAATTGCTTGGATATGATGTCTGATTCTATTGCATGGGGACGGTGTCTGATTTTATTGCATGGATCTTCTGATGTCATTGCAAAGGCATTTCTGATTTCAGATGCAAGTAATATCTGATCTCAGTACAAAGTCTCTCTAATTTCATTGCATTTGGATGTCTGATTTTAGTTGCAATGGATGTATGATTTCATTGCATGGGGATGATGTCTAATCGCATTGCATGGATTATCTGATATCATTGCATGCAATGTCTGATTTCAGTTAAATGCGATGTCTGATTGATTTGGAAAGTCCACTTGTACCTCATTTCCCATAAAAATCAGACATGAAAATGATTTTAGATGATCTACATGCACTTAACATGCGATGTCCATAAAAGCTTAATTTCTCCAGAATCAACAAACCTGTTAAATGAATAGACAGGTGTCGTAGAACTCTACCTTTGACACTGTCATTAAGGATTAAAGAAGAGCCGGTGTTTTTTTTTCTTTCTACGAATTCTTTTATCTTAAACAAGCACAACCAACTCCAAAAAATACCCTGCCTGTTATCAGGAACTCAACAGTATGTCTTGTTTTTGTTTTTTTTCATTGTGTTCATACTTGAAGCACAACCAGTCTAATAATCAGTTTTTCTTGTTTTACAGCAAATCAGTACAATCAAAAGTGGAGAGTATATTGGTAAGTCTCTCATGCCATTAATTATAAACATTTAGGCAATGTGCTTCCAGTTTTGTATTATCAGACAAGTAGTTTGGACTCTAATTTGAGATTCTGCATTATAATGCAGATGTGTTCTATATTAATGCAGCAAGTTGCAACATTGCTTGTCAAGCATAAACCTTAAACTGTAATCGTTGGTTGAGGATTTTAAATATTATTTATAAATGTAACTAGCCTATTTATGAATAATGAAGTCTTATGAAATTCTAATAATGAATTTACAATAGCTTTTTCTGCTGATATGGCATTAAGTAATGAATAAATATTTTAAATATCAGTGTTACGCTGGCCTTTGGCTTCCCAGCTATCTATTTATCAGCATCAGCCACTGGTGAACCAGATAAACCAGCATCTGGTTCATTCATCACACTGGAAATGGAAGGTCAAGCTGAGCACATTGCATTGTGGGATGCAGTATTGTGTGTCAAGTGCTCTGGTTGTATAATGCACACTTATGCTGGTGTAGAAGATCATAGGAGCATTACATCTCCATAGGAGACATACTGCATGCTGCAGGAATAGTGTATTATGGTAGTACGTTATTAAAAACATTGGACAAGACATTTAAAAATGCAGATTCAGCATTCAGTTTTTAAATGTTGAAAACGTGTTTATGAATTGTTTTGCATTTGTGAATGTGAATGGGGTCATTAGTTTGTGAGTCATATTTGGAGAATGTGTTCATTTTGAGATTATTCTGATCGTGTAAAGAATATGTTAGTGATGTTCATTACTGTCTGACAGTGTGATTTATTTTTAGTTCCAGCACGCGTGTGTGTGTGTGCGTGTGTGCGTGTGTGCGTGTGTGTCATCTAAAGGCCACTCACTTTTATCAAAACAGCGTTTTCTACAGCAGTTGTCATCGTCAAATAATCCATAGTTATTAGTCAACAGGGAGTATCGTAGTGTCCTGCTATATCTTTCTTAGATGGATGATGTATTTGTCATAATTCTTCCTTTGCATGTTTGTAGAATTTGTAGAATTTTCACTCCAAAATTGCTAGTAAATTTCACAATCACAGCAACACATTGAATTAAATGTAAAATTTAGATTTAGAAAGACTGAAATAGTATTTTCTTGTCAAACGTACTCTGTTTTATTTACAACTTTGAAAAATCATGAGTGTTAACGCAAATTCTTTAATATATTTTTAGCAATTATTTACTAACATGTTTTTAACATTTTAAAGTACTAACATGTTTTATTAAAACATATTAAACAAAATACACATTTTTAACATTTTAAACTACTAACATCTTTTTTTTTACATTTTAAACAAAGAACTAACATGTTTTTAATATTTTAAACAAAGAACTAACATGTTTTTAATATTTTAAACAAAGTACTAACATGTTTTTAATATTTTAAAGTACTAACATGTTTTTTTTACGTTTTAACAAAGTACTAACATTTTTGTAGGTATGCTTTTGGACGTTCTGGGTGTTTCTAGTCAAATTAACGTATTTTCCGAGCTGATATTATAAAGTTAAACCTATGAAAATGGCGTTAAAAAGCGCATTGCGCCATAGTTTCTTCACTTTATAGTGTCAGAATAACCGTCTTTTTGCAGTAACTCAATGAGTGTGTAGATGACATGAGGCGGCTCGAGGGTGAAGTTCAGAGGATTTTGTACATGAAATGATAAGAGCACATTTTGTTTTAACACATTATTTTATTATTTTACACACAGTATTTTAACTTAGGCGCTGCAAGCCTTATGCATTATGCAAGTACTTTACAGGAAGTTTATTGCTGTGGCAGCCAACAACAGCACCACTCAACCATGCACACATTTTTATATTTAGTTACACTAAAAAGTTTCAGTTTAATTAATTCAGTCGATCTCATTACACCGTTTTAACATGGGTTTCTATGGAGACCGGAAGAACAGAATAAGAATAAGGCTGTTTGCTTTGGATGGAAGGATTTATAACCACTACCTGGTACATTTAGGAAATAACAGTGAATCGTCTTTTATTTTTTTATTGACTCTCATTGGCTGCCCAGCCTCACATCCATTCATGAGCGCCGGTTTCTCCTAGCAACAAAGAGGCAAATAGAATAGGACGAGGTGAGAGGAATTCACTCTCACCAGCCAATGGAAAGCGAGGTGGGCGGAGCCTGTGCTGGAACGACGTGTTGCCAGTGTGTCAGCATTGACATGCATGTTTACTGTCAGGGTTTACATGGCAACCAGCTAAGAGCAGGGCAGGATTGCAGGTTTGCTGTTGGTCATATGCGCAGACACGCTCTGGTACTGTGCGCCTGGCCGGCTCGAGGGGCTCTGGTTCTCCCCGTACAATACGGCAACCTTGCGGAAATGAATGCAGGAGAAAACAGTGATGTCATGGACTGCGGAGTCTTTTGCAGGGGCTGAAAATCAAGGCCTTTAAGTGAATTTTAGTGTGTGATAATGGTGTGGGTGTTTGATATTGTGCATGACAATAATGTCATTTCTTTTATTTTTTGGAGAAAAAGGTAGCAAAATCAAATTTCTGCTGCGGTGGAATCTCCACCACAACCAAATGTAAACTTTTATTGGAAAAACTCTTGTTCTCAAAAATAGTCATTTTGAAAAAATAAATACATTTTAGTGTAGTCACAGAATTTCACTGATTTTCACACTTTAATTACATTTAATACCTCAGCATGACTGTTAACATGCTGTTTTTTTTAATAGTAAAAAATAATGTCAAACTTGTCTGAATTGCTTTTGTCTCATAATCCTTGTGTTGTTCATTTACACAGCAAGATGTTGAGAAGTTTACAGATATTGAAAAGCTCTACCTCTACCTTAAGTTGCCTTCTGGTCCCAGTGGTGGCAATGACAAAAGGTGCATATTATTTTTTATCTACACTATTCCTTTCCATATCCCCCTCCTCTCTTTTTATGGTTTCAACACTTCATTTGTGTTTTTTGTGCTTTGCAATATCAAATACACTCATAGCGTATACTGTATGTCTGTTTATGATTCACTCATATTTACATTCAGTGAAACATGCATATATGAAATGCATTTATGAAACAAAATCTAAACATTTGCAAGTATCATTTTTTGTAAGATTGTTTCATTTTGCATTTGTGGTCAGGTTAACATTGATTTATGAGTCATGAGCTAATCATTTCGCCATTTATACAGATTTTGTGTAAATTATGACATTGCAATACCAAGCTTCCTGTGTTTTATCATTTGTTTCCCCTTATCTGTCCATCATGTCAACCCCTCTTTACCAACATGATGTCCAATAGAACTGAAAATCAGAGGGGCTCTGCAAGTCCTGCGATATGGTACTACAACTTTAACTATATTAAAGGGAAAATAATTTTGAAGTAGTTTGTAACATGATATATTATACAGGACCAACAAATGTGTACACAGCCTTCTGGTGCTGCACCATCTTTGGTTTTAAGCCTTTCTTTTCCTCTGTTTTCCCCATAGCGACCAGAATTCCATGTCGTCCAGCCGGACTCAACAGATGTACGCGTTCAACTGGATCCGAAATCACTTGGAAGAGCACCCAGAAACCTCACTGCCAAAACAAGAGGTGTACGACGAATACAAGTGAGTGATTTGACACTGCAGTAATGGACAGAAGTTGTGTTTGCTTGTACTCATCCGTTTCTGATGCTATGTTTCAGGAGTTATTGCGACAATCTGGGTTACCATCCTTTAAGCGCAGCTGATTTTGGAAAGATCATGAAAAACGTTTTTCCGAACATGAAGGCACGCCGTTTGGGCATGAGGGGGAAATCAAAATATCCTTTTGTGTGGAAAAATCTGATATATTTTGAATTTGAGCTACCTGCGATACACCTAAAGCATGACAACATTTGCTTTTGAAGTATTTTGTGTGCATTGAGAATTGTTGTGAACCTTTACAATGCATTACGTACTGCTACAGTGGGCTGAGAAAAAAAGCATTTGTGCACGTGCCATCACTCCCTAACCTGGACTTACACAAATCAGGAGACGGGGTCAGTATCCTGTTTCTGTCAAATCCAAAACAAGAGATTCATATCATGCCCTAATTGCAACAGCATTGTGTTGGTTTTCAAATGAAGTTTGTACAAGTTTGATAAGCCTCTTATTGCTGGGCTTCTTTAGTGTGAGTTGTTGGACTCGACCGGACAGTCTCCCAGTGCTGAGGATGAGATGCGCTCGGCAGCTTGCGGTCTGGTCTGCGAATGGGCTCAGAAGGTTTTGAGTCGCCAGTTTGACAGTGTGGACGAACTGGCACGCTTTCTTCTCAATAGTCACTATATAGGCACTAAGTCCATGGCAGCTCTTACTGTTATGACTGGAACCCCAACAGGCAAGACACAAAAATTACCTCGCATACAAATCTAGACGATGCATGATTAAACTCTTTGAAAATGTCGGTTGTAGCAGCTACTGGTTGCACCCTTCAGGAGTTTTACTTGTGTGGCATTCAAACTATGTTCGTTACTTGTATTTAACTTGAATCTCTTTGATAAAAACCAGGTATGAAAACCCCTACGCCTGCCTCTGCCTTTGTGCCAACTGGTGAAGCCAACTCATTCCAGCCCCAAGTGAAGACCCTCCCTTCGCCTTCTGTAGACGCCAAACAGCAGCTGCAGCGGAAGATTCAGAAGAAACAGCAGGAGCAGAAGCTCACCTCTCCTTTGCCCACTGATGCCCAGGCCAGAAGGGCAGAGGCGGGCACACCCGGCCCTGGATCCAGCCTGACCACTGGAAGTCCTGCAATACTGTCCCCTCAACCAACCATAGGCATTGTGGTCACTGCTGTTCCAAGTCCTATCACAGTAAGGAGATTTTGGTTGATAGCAGGGTATGGATGATTCGACATTGCTGAATGACAAATGATTTAGATTGTGCCTTTGTTTGCATCATTTTCAGGTTCAGAGAAACAGGCAACTAATGACCTCTCCAAGTCCTGTTGGGGCAGCAGAGGGAAAAGTTGTTCCTGTTAACTTCCAGGTCGTGACACAACCTGTTAAGCAGTCTCCAAAAACACCCCAAAATTTCCCTGCCAGCCCAGTCGGTGACAGGTTGGCCAGACACCGATATGCTCAGATTTTACCTAAACCCTCTGCCACAAGCGCCATTGCGCTTCGCTCGCCCCCAACGCTCCTAATCACCAACAGCCCCATCAAGACGGTGATGCCCACGCCCCATGTTAGCTCTTTAAATGTGGTCAAGATGACTGCAATTTCGTTAGCGCCTAGCAGTAGCAGTAGTAGTAGTAGTACTCCTACCCCGTTGCGACCTGCTTCGACAGGTTTCAGTAGCACAGCTTCCCTGGAAGAATCTTGCCAAATCCAGCAAGCGCAGAATGGGGCGTCTGTCATGTCTCTCCAGTCATCTGGGAAAGCTGGACGTCCCTCCACGACCCCAACCCCATCAGCATCCATTGTTACCAGTGAGGTAAAAGTGACATTCGAAGCTGTGAATGACAGTAACTCAGCTACTGCTGTTTATAAACAAATCACTGCATCAGGGGCAAGTACAGGACTAAAGAACGAAAGAGCCACTAAATTCAGGGCTTCCAGTGAACCCTCTTTTCTTATTAAGGCGTCCCCTGTGCCTGAGAGAGTGACAAGGGCCAAGAGTGACTCTACAACCCCTTCAAGTACAATCATGGGGGCTCTTGCCCCAAGCAGCAATAACAACAACGATCAACCAGAAAGTACTTTGTATTTAACTGTTACTAGCCAGAATGTAGATGCCGAATTGTCATCCATTTGTGCGATGGCAACTGCAAGCACTTCTTCAAAAGATGCTAGTCTCGGTCCAAAAAGCCCTCGAAAACGCTCTGCATCTGTTTTGGAAACCCATACAATCCCAGTTAAAAGAGTATTCATTTCCCAGCAACCTTTGGATGTTGGCTACAATGCCAAGCCTGGTATTGTAATAGCAGCTAAGAAGATTCAGAGACCTGGCACTCCAGCAAGACCAGAGAGCGCTCCATGCAAAGTTACACTAAAACAGAGTAGCTCTCTTCCAACTCAAATCTTAGCTCTTTCTGACACTCCCATTGGCGCCCTGGACACCTCCCAGATGGTTAATCCTCAGAATGAAGTTGCTGATATTAGCCCTAGTGAAACTGCTTCTGCTAATAGCACAGCTTTACTGCAGCAAATCCAAAGTCACCAACAAATCAGCAGTGACCTTTGTCAGCAGGTATCTACTGTAAGTGAACTCAAGAGTTCGCTGCAAGACTACTCGCAACAGATGCAAGCAGAACACAAGCAGATTGCCGCTAATCCATTATCGTTGATGGCCCAGGCAACTGAGACCACTAGTCAGCTTCAGTCAAGGCATCAGGACGGAAACTTGGGAAGGCTAACAACCATTTCTCCAGTGCAACAAGGACAGCAAACCACCCTTAGTAGCAAGCAAGAAAGTTTTGCCGTCCCAGCTCCGTTGGACAACAAAGGGGCAGGAAGCACATCTACATCTGGAGGTGGAACCTTCCGGTGTCGCAGCGTTAGCCCAGCAGTTCGCCAGCGTAACCTTAGTGGCACCACTGCACAAACAGTCACCACCCCACGATCTGTTGTTTCTCCCTTTAATTGCCCCCTGACATTTGAGGTTCTGAACATTTTGTCCAACAACCAGTCTGGGGTCAGTGCCAGCAGCTTGGCCCAGAGGAGCCAATCAGTTCCACTAAACATCATGATGCAGTCTGAGCTGCTTCCCATCAGTCACCAGGGGCAGCAAAGCAATAGCGCTAAGATCACCACCGTGCTCCTTAGCAAGATGGACACGGATGGAGACGATGCAGTGCGAGGGCTGGGTGTAAATAACCTGCCCGCCAATTACACAGCACGGATGAACTTAACCCAAATCCTGGAGACGACACAGGGCTTCCCCGGAGGCCCCAACTTTCAGAACCAGCAGCTGCCTCTGGACTCAAGCCCTTCGCCTTTTGACTTCCAGAAGACGGGTTACCTCATAAGTGCGGGAGAGGAGCAAGTCACCTTCTCCAGTGGTGACAGTCAAGCACAATCGGGCTCTGGACTGCAACGACCGGAAGAGCAGCTTCAGCTCCAGGAACCGCAGTTGGAGTTGCAAGACCAACAGCTACAACTCCAGAATCAACAGCTGCAACTTCCAGATCAGCAATTACAACTCCGAGACCAACAGCTACAACTTCAAGACACACAGTTGCAACTCCAGGACCAACAGTTGCAGTTGCCGGACCAACAACAGTTACAAGATGACCCAGATCTCACCCAGCACCACTTGTTGCCCCAAACCTCGCAGCAGGTTGTGGATCAGGAGCAGCAAGAGCAACTGGACTTCAACACTACTGTCAAGGATCTCTTGGGGGAGGACAGCCTCAACCCCAGTTCGCAACTCGTCGGACAGGTGGCGTCAGAGCTCAGTGCTGTCGCCTCTGACTTTTCCAGCGATATCCGGTTGACTTCTGACCTTTCAAGTAGCATTAACGACCTAAACACTTTGGACCCCAACTTGCTGTTTGACCCCAGTCAGCAGCAGGACCAATTTGAAGACGCCACACTGGAAGAACTGAAGAACGATCCTCTGTTTCAGCAGATTTGCAGCGATACTGTGAATTCTGCTGGTTTTGATTGGCTGGAGAATAAAGACCAGCCAACCGTGGAAATGTTGGGATAATATTATTTCCCGTTCTTTTACTGTTGATGTTGCTGTCGTCTGTTGTTGTTTATATTTATGGTTTCTGTTCAGCGTTTGTTTTTTGTATTGCAACGTTTTGTGTATCCTTTACGTACAAAAATATTGAATGATGTGTCTGTGCAGCAAAAATCTGGACGCTTTGGACTGTCCAGTGTAAAGTGCCAGCCTGAGGTAAATCTCTTACAGGCATGTGCTTTATCTGAATTTTTTTTTACAATCGTTTTGTTTGTATTCCTGTTGTATGATTTCATAGATCATTCCAGTCATTTCTCCTCACTCAGAAGTAGGGCTGGGTATCGTTCAAAAATGTTCGATACCGATACCTTGACTTCGATACCGTTTCCTGAACGACACTTTTTTCGATACCAATTTTATGAAATCAATTTTAACAAGATTACATCAACTAAAAAAAAAAAAAAACTTTGGTTTTATTTTTCAGCTTCTTGATGTTTATACAATCTCAAAGACTCATCTCCAGAGCCACTGCACAAAGGAACAAAATGTAACCAACACAATAAATCAGTGCAAATAATTTTAATAAAGCTCAAATAGTCTTCAGTTTACACATCTGTTTGGCTACATTTACACTAGTGCGTGTTCGTTTTAAAACGCATAGCTCAGACAGAATCATGATTTCTATTTATTTTCCACTGATGAGCATTAGCAGCTTCCAGCGCTGTCTGCTTGTGTTCTCTCTTCCATGATCGCTGCTCTGACTCAGAGGTAATAACATATTTAATTTCAGCAACATTACATGGCCAAAACACACATTAGACGGCAATCGGAAGTTATTGCAAACACTCGATGGTGGTTTAAAGTGAGTTTTGAGTAAAAGCGGAATATAAATCTTATTTATTGTCATGTAGCATGATGCTACAGATTGCATGAATGGTCACATAACACGCGCTTTCAGTCGTGTAACGTTAGTATGAACGGACATCTGCATATGATCGGAACTCCACGCAGCTCCCGCGCTACTCTCCATTGGAAATGAATGAATGACTGAATGACCGGTCTGTCGCTTGTCAGAGAGAGTGGAAAGCCAGCTTGAAACGCAGTGGAAACGCCAGTATGACAAGGATCGTTTTCATTTTAAAACATAAACGCACCAGTGTAAATGTAGCCTTACATCTAAGGGGGCTGGGACACATTCACACTACAGCCTCACGTGTGCGCCACATCTCTGAGTGTAACCGGTGTAAACTAGCAGGTGTGTTCGACTTGACGCGGACCGATATTTTTACGGATATTTTCGATACTCGATGGTATCGAGGCAATTCGGTCGGTGCCTAAAAAGTATCGAACTCGATACCCAGCCCTACTCAGAAGTCATTTATAGTGGGCGGTCAGATATTTCCTCTGGTTCCAGCTGGTAGTAAAGTACGTTCAATATGATGAGACATCACCTGGTGCACAAGCATATCCCTCTTTCATACATTTCCTCCCACTAAAACCATGCAATATTCCGAGTAACGTTGACGTTGGGGAAGCTCCCTTTCTAGACAGTGGTCTAAGGATCCAGTAATGTGGCTTTTGTAAGTTTGGTAGGAGACCAAAAGAGTGCCCCCAAATACCATTAGTACAGCAGAGGTGAAATATCACATCTACATATCGTAAATCGGTCAGTTCAGTGAACTGCAAAGATCTTAGGTGCTACTTGGTGCTGACTTAAAGAATCGCATTTACTGTACCTTTCATCAGCCATCATTTGTTTTGTCAAAGTGATTTTACACGTTTTTGGGGGAAAAGGTTTTAAGGCCATAATACCTGTACTGTTGAATCCAAACTGTTGGGGAGGGATGAGATTTTTGGTTTGTTTTTTTCCCGAAAAAATGGGAAGATAGGACTCGTCTGCCTTATTTCCAGAGTCTAAGGCCTTATCCCATCTGATTAAAGGCTTCTGAATTCAAGAATTACTTGAACGAATTTGGTGCACATGTCGTGAATTAGCAGTTCTCCATCTTCAGATGGTTGCTAGCCATTTTGAAGGCTTTGTTAGCACATCATTTCAAACTGGTAGTGACGATGGTATGGTGATGGCTAGATATTCTTACCAACTCGAGATCAACAGGCAAACCTGTGTAGTTTCTCCAGCCTTAACTCCATACCAAAGAGCAGCTGTGGAAGAACAAGTGATTGCGATCCGTTGCGGTTTCCATCTTCAATCGCCCGTCATCTAAAAGGAATCTTGACAGTTTTTGTTTGTTTTTACAGTAAGTGAATTAGCATTTGTGTAAATTATGTATATGGCGGATGTATGGATGGGGAGCATGTTGTACAAGTTCACGAAGGCTAAGGTTCTAGGCTGTAGGTAGTGCGACATTTGTAAAAAGGACATAGTTGTCATCATGAGATTTCCATTTTATCAAGACGCTAATGGTAGGTAGATTCGAGTGCCCTTAAGAAGAAAACGCTGATCATAACGAGTCCATAGCCAGCACAATATTTCGCTTGTTGCGTTTCTGGCTTCCTGTGATGTGCTAGTAAACATTGGGTCTGTAGCTTGCTAATATACCATTTTTCTTAGAAGTTTATTGGTTACTGCGTACGCAGATGTGATGTGCAAATGAAGAGAGGATATTATAGCATGGATTTATCGAGAAAAAAAAAGAAATGAGATATACAGACTTAATTTTATCGTGACATAGCTAAATGTTGTGTGCAGAGACGAATCAAAGGAGCAGACGTTGGAAATGGTTTGAAAACGTTAATCTTATTGCACTAGAAGTTGGGTTTCTTTTTCTGTCGACAAACAACAATTGGTGCCCGCGTTGTTTTTCTTCTAATGACAATAAATCGGGGAATTACGCACTCGTGCTCGAAAACGACAATGAATAATGGCCTTGTGTAGCAATGAGCTCTAATCTCAATGAGATCCGCGTTGTACAACTTCTCGTACCTGAGAAGAAAATATGAAAATACGAGATTTAAAAATTACAGTGCGTAAAAAAAAAAAGCCAACATGCTTTACCATGTTATAAAATGACTGTATGTGCGCATGTATGTTAAACTATCTATGGTAGTATTTGTTGTGAGCAATCTTTTAGCCAATCAAAACGGGACGAGAGGGGACAAAAGTAGTTCTTCAGAAGCTATATGCATTTTACGATGTTTGCGAAGTTAAAATAAGTCTGTTTCTGTTCATGAACGTTGTACTTGTTTTTCGTTTTCTTTTTTTATGTATATAAAAATGCCTATGTGAAGAAAGCTGTAAATATTTTTTATGTTCTGGCGTTTATTAAGGCACTGATTAATTACCGGTTTTTTTATTTTACCAGTAAGACTCCAGTCCTCTTTTAATACACAGGGTTTGACGCTGCAGATGTCGTTCGTCAGGTCGGTCTTGTAGAAAAAAATGTTCATTCTGTCTGTAGATTTGAGCCTCTGATGTGCTGCTTTATCTGCTCTATGTGGACAGTAGCTTGTTAATATTGCAGAAGCGTTTCAGCGATGTTTTGTTCTTTTCTCCTCTTTTTTTTTTTTCCAAGGGAAAGTACTCACAGGTGAGATTTTTTAAGTGGTTTTAAAAGCCAATAAACATTTTTTAAACAACACTGTGTTGTCCTAAAGTGTGTCCAGTTTGAGCGTAACTGCGCCCTCTATTGGGTCACATTGACACTGCAGCACAAAAAAAAACAAAAACAAGAGGTCATGAGGTCATATCATGTGCGACTGCAATGCATGCTGGGATCTCACAAACCCTTAACAAATCAATAATAAAAATCTATAAAATTTCAATAAAATATAAAATCTAAATATCAAACATGCACAGGTATTTTTAAATCTCAAAACAATGTCAGATTTTATATGACTGATTTAGTTGTGTCTTTTTTGTTTGATTTAGTGTTTTTAATTTTTTAAAGATTGATATTTATACATGATTTTGTGCTTTGTTGTGTGCACTAAGAAGGTACTTTTAAAGGCGCTATATATAAAATAAAGTTTATTACAATAATTATTTGTTCAAATTCAATATTGTTGACGACTTTAACCAATGCCTTCAGAAATATTCAATACACTGCTCAAAAAGCTGTGTATACTGCATAAAATATATAATTTCATTTTATAGTATGTAGGATACGCTTCAGCAAAGCACTAAACGGTTGGTTGCTAATAGTGAACCAGATATTACCTGCATCCAAAACTTAAAGCTAAGTCTTTATTTTATCTTTTGAAATTATTGTTGATAAGCTGCCTCAAATATTAAAACAGCAAAAAATTCAATGACATTTTTAGATAGAGCTATATACTTGCGATATATATATATGTGTGTGTGTGTGTATATATATATGTATGTGTATATGTATGTATGTAAATCTAGTACCAACACTCGCACACAAACAGACACTCACTCGCACGCACACACTCTCTCACACATACTCTCTTACACACTCACTCACACACACTCACTCTCACACACTCACTCTCACACACTCACTCACACACACACACTCTCACACACACACTCTCTCTCACACACACACAGACACTCTCTCACACACACTCTCTCACACACACACTCTCTCTCACACACACACAGACACTCTCTCACACACACTCTCTCACACACACACTCTCTCTCACACACACACAGACACTCTCTCACACACACTCTCTCACACACACACTCTCTCTCACACACACACAGACACTCTCTCACACACACTCTCTCACACACACACTCTCTCTCACACACACACAGACACTCTCTCACACACACTCTCTCACACACACACTCTCTCTCACACACACACAGACACTCTCTCACACACACTCTCTCACACACACACTCTCTCTCACACACACACAGACACTCTCTCACACACACTCTCTCACACACACACTCTCTCTCACACACACACAGACACTCTCTCACACACACTCTCTCACACACACACTCTCTCTCACACACACACAGACACTCTCTCACACACACTCTCTCACACACACACTCTCTCTCACACACACACAGACACTCTCTCACACACACTCTCTCACACACACACTCTCTCTCACACACACACAGACACTCTCTCACACACACTCTCTCACACACACACTCTCTCTCACACACACACAGACACTCTCTCACACACACTCTCTCACACACACACTCTCTCTCACACACACACAGACACTCTCTCACACACACTCTCTCACACACACACTCTCTCTCACACACACACAGACACTCTCTCACACACACTCTCTCACACACACACTCTCTCTCACACACACACAGACACTCTCTCACACACACTCTCTCACACACACACTCTCTCTCACACACACACAGACACTCTCTCACACACACTCTCTCACACACACACTCT